ATCTCTCTGCCAGGGAGGGGGCTACTGGTTTTGAACTGCTAATCTTGGAGTTAGCAGCCGAATGTGTGACCCACTTATGCCATCAGGGCTCCTGCTGTGTCACCAGGGCTCTTTGTATTATGGGATAACTCTAACACTCACAGTGACCCTACAGGGCAGAGTAGAACTGCCCAAGGCGGTAAATAAATCTGTATGGAAGCAGACTCCACAGTCTTTCTCCCACCACGGAGCGACTAGTGGGTTTGAACTTCAGACCTTTTGGTTATCAGCTATGTGTTTAGCCACTGGGCCACAGGGGTCCTGCAGAGCACACCACTGGCTCTTACTGCAGGCTGACCCTCCGCCGGAAAATCAGATACTATCAATCCGGGCCAAGACCCAGGACTATTTCCTTCTAAGTGCACCAGATGGTTCTAATAGGTGCCAGGATCAAGAACTGCTGTGCAGATAATGGTGACATTATTCAAATAACTCAGGAGTTAAAATTTGAGGTAAGCACAAATGATAACAAGTGAGTACTTTTAAAACAAAAAGAAATTATCTGACCATTAACCAGTAAGTCTCGGTTACTCTCGTTTTTTAAAAAATCTTTGGACAAATACATTATGACTCAGAAAATGCTTACTGTAGTAAAAAGAGCCCCGAACGTTCTCTGACTGTTAAGCACACCACATAATTATAGAATATTAACCGAAATGAAATATTTACATAACCGCATAGTCATGAACTCTTTACAAGAGCTCCGTGTTCCCTCCGTACTTAAAAATAGCCACCAGGTAAGAGCAGACTTTTTCCGCACATAAACAATGACTCATACGTACTTTTTACAGTGAAGCTCTGTGCAGAAGTAGATTTGGAAATCGTCAGAATTATGAAGCACATAAAGGAAACAGCATCGCTCTTCAAATTTAGAAATACTACAACGAACAAACAAAATCATTACTCGGGAAAGACCAATACTTCTACAGATTTGCCATTAAAAGTCAATACGTTTACATCCAACCTGCTATCCCATTCTGAGATCGAGGTCATTTGTGACAAAACGTAAGAAGCGCCATTTTTAGAAGGTCCCTGTGCCACATACGAAGGGGACACCCCCCTCTGGGACTCGTCCTCCTGCTCAGATCTGGGCGCGGGGTGCGAGCACACATCCGCTGTGGCCCTCTCAGGGAGCACGGGCCAGGGGGGCACCCACGCAGGACCCCATCCATCGCAGAGCAGTGGAAACATAGAAAACAGCACTGGGTCTGATCTGAACACGTGGCTCCCAGCGTTTATGAACCAGGTTACCCTGTTTCACACCAGAGATTGTCCAAAACTTTCCCCACAAAATCCAGAGGGCAAATATGTTAGGTCTTGCGGGCCACGCTACTCAGTTCTGCCACTGGGGTGTGAAAGCAGCCTAGACAAACCTTCAGCGAATGGACAGGGCTGCTTTTCGATAAAACTTTATTTGTAAAGGCAGGCCTGCAGGCCGAAGCTTGCTGATGTCCATTTTTTGGTGAAAGCCCGTTTATAATTGAATTTTTTTTTAAAAAAAACCTTTCATCAGTTAGGAACCAGCTTAGACGGACCCTTCCCCTCTCTCCCTCATCCCAATTCTCCTCTCGGGCCTCTGTTCTCTGAACATACTCTCCCAAGCTTTAATTGGCTGCTCCCCTTCTGGGCTGAGCGCTCTCTGACAGCAGTCTCTGGCCTAGGTGTGCGTGTGCCCATAGCATGATTCTGAACTTCTGAACCCTGGCTGGTGCCCAGCAAATGCCCAGAGGCTTGAGTGGAGACAAGCTGTCACCTGTCATCATTTCCTTAGAGGAGGGAACAAGGAAAGCTAACTTTCTTTGAAGTCTCCCTGTGGAACTCCAATTTCCTGATAGGTATGCAAACACCGGAAAGCCACCTAGAGGCACTCCATGTAAATGTCCTAAAATCTCAGCAAACGTGCCATGTGGGGTGCCGGCCCTCATGCAGGGACCTCATTCTCAGCCCTGGGAAGTGAGGGTGATCGAAGGAGCCTGTATCCGCCAGGCTTTCCTGGGCGGCTTGCTTACAAAAGCCGCAGTAGGTAGTGAGTGCCCCGCTGGGGGCTGGTTTGGAGAAAAGTCCATATGAAAGCTCCAATCGAGAGAAGGCATCGATTGGAAAGAGACGGGATGAGGCAGTCCGTCATTTTGCTTGTTTCTGTTTGGATCATTCGTGGTTCAAAGCGGCGGACTCCAAGGATCAGCGACTCAGCCCGCGCGCGCAGTTCGCGCTCCGACAGAGCCAATCCCGAGGACTCCGGGCGCAGCCGGATACGGCACCGGCTCCTGGTTCTCACAGTTCTGAGAAGCGGGATAAACACTCGGAACCTCCAGGCCTTGGGTGTGAAACTGGCAAGCGGTGGCTCAGGACGGGCTCAGAGAGAACCAACATTCAAAGGCTCAACCAAAGGTTCGGAAACGCCGTCTCGAGGGTAAATCCCAGAAAATGGCATCGTCTGAGTTACGGCCATGTCAGACCCGAGGTGACCTGCAGTGAACCACTGTCGTCTCTCAACACTACACCAAGAATGACCGCAGGGAGGAACGGGGGAGGCGGTGAATCCCCCACGTCTCACCTCATTATGAGGGAGAAGGCAAAACCTGGCCGGTGATGTGAATTCACCTGACGGCGGGGGGGCTTGGGTCCTGGTGGCATGCCCAAAGGAACTCGAAGCCACCCTCCACGATGCTCGGAGGAGCCCGGCCTGCCACGGGCGCCCACACAGCTCACTTGGGTGGTCCAGGGCTTCGGGCCCACCGTTCGCGGTTAGCACCGAGTCACCGCGTTTTCGGTAGGTGGCAGGGAGTTCTACCAGCAGCCAAGGTCTGCAGCTGAGCATCCTGGGGCAGGATTCCAAACGAAGACAGCGAGACTGGCAGAGGAGGAGCATTTCCACCACCAGCAGGATCCTGGAAGTTCTTGACCTTGTTTTTGCATCGTGACGAAAAAGCCACGACTAGCCCAGAAAAAAGGGCTTGCATGTCCACAAAGTGTACCCAGCAAACTTACCTCACTCCCCTGACAGAAGCAGCACTGAAATCCCACTCGTGGATACCTTTCTGCAACAGAGAAGAACGGCAATCAAAACGCCGACTCACGCACATGGGAAGACAACATAACATAAACAATGATGATGCTGTTTGATCACTTTTTAAACAACAGATGTGCGGTACTTTTCCCCTGGTGCATCATGCTTCACGAATAAGTTATCGGGAGGGAAACTGCACATTGTCCCCTCGAGTCATCCGGGGAATGTTCACTCCACCTAATAATTCCTGCTCTCCCAGCAGGCCTGAGACTAACACAGGTCTCGAGAGAGGAGAAGAGAAGGAGTGTTACCAGCCTTTGAGTCAATTCCCGCACATGGCCACCCTCTGTGCGCAGAGGAGACCTGCCCATAGGGTTTCTAGGTGGTGACCTTCCTGGGCGGGCCACCGGCCTGTCCTCCAAGGGGCCTCAGGGTGGGCTCAAGGTGCTAATCTGTTCTCAGTCAAGACCTCAACCGTCGGCATCCCCTAAGCTTTCCCTGGGAGAAGCACTCTCATTGTCTTCTGACATCTGACTTTCAGCAGATAAACCTACACTAACCGCTAACCGTTCTCTGTTCATTTCATATAAAGCAAACCCAGTCAGCCAAGTAATTTCATTATAACCAAGCAGTAATTCTTTTTCTGAGAAAGAACACCATTCATTTGAATAAAATCTTTGCAAGGATTAAAGACAGTGATTTGGTGTTGCACTGCCGTTAGGGACATTTTCTAGCTAAACCCGTGGTCTACTTATTCAGAAAAGAACAGCACAAACAGGTATGCAAGCACACACGCACACGTGTAGTGTCCACTGTACATGTAGTCAGGCCACTACCTCATTTATGCAAAACTCAAGATGCCAGTGAAGGATGAACATAAGTGATTTGATGGTCATATGTTAAGCAGGTGAAATACAAGGTGGGGGGGATTTATTTCCTGAGATGATTACTAAAACAGAGGTAAAATGAGAATGTACACGGATCTAAATGAACTACATGACAAGATGGGCTGCCTTCCTTATAAAAATATCAATCTGACATCAATATGGAAGTAATAGTATATGCATCTGACTCATAACTAAGATAGCTGAAGGAACCCTGGGGCGCAGCGCTTAAGCGCCCAGCGGAGGAGTGAAGGCCTGGCGGTGTGAAGTTCCCAGCAGCTGTGTGGGAGAAAGGGGTGGCAATCGCTCACACCCTGAAAACCCCGGTGGCAGTTCTACTCAGTCCCACCCGACAGTAAGGACTAGAAATCATCTAGAATGATTTCAAACTT